GGTGTTCCAGTTTCCCACGTACCTTCTTGATGCGCTTCTCGTTTATGATGACCTTGTCCAGCTTGGCGTCCTTTCGGTCGTTCTTCTTGATGCCCTCCACCTTGGTGAGGAACCGGCCCTGGTGGCGCTTCTTCTCGCGGTTGCTGACGCCGTCGCCGACCCACGAGCCCCAGCCGGGGAGGGTGTTGTCGATGACCTTGTCGTCGTCCTGCTCGGCTATCTCCTCCTTCTCGCGCTCGAACTCGCCCACGACGTCCTCCCCGGCAAAGGCTCGGGCGACCAGCTGCTGATCGCGGATGGCGAGCGGGAGGTGCTGGTCGGCGTCGTCGGAGTCGTCGTCGCTGGCGTGGCCGGCCCCGTTCTGCTGCTGTGACGAGGTTGAGGATTTCTTGACGGCTTTGGATTTGTTGCCGTTCGAGGCGATCATGATGTTGGCGTTGAGATCAAAGTCCTCCATCTTGGCGGAGCTGCCGCCCTTCTTCTTCCGCCGTACTTCGCCGCTTGACCACGCTCCGGCTGTCGTGTTGGCTGTTGATATGGCAGCGGCTGGCGCAGCTTTCGAGGCGTTTCCATTGGATGAGAGTTTGATCGTGACATCGCCGCCGTCGTCGTCGTCCTCTTCGATCTTTCGTGGCTTCTTCGCGGACATCTTGGAGGTATCCAGAGCAGCGGCGAAAACCTTGCCTCCGGCTCCTCCATACTGCTTGCGACCAACCTCATCACCGCCATCGTCTGCTGATTCCTCTTCCTCCCCGTCAAGCTCTCTTCGTATTTGTTTTATGAGGTCGTCGTTCTCCTGCTTTCGCGCCGCCTCTGCTTTTTGCATGAACTTCATGCTCATCAGCTTTGACTGGGGCTCATCATCCTCCTCTTCGAGAGCAGCGAGCTGGCGTCTTAGAGAACGATCACCGCCGTCCTCAGAGTCGCTGCCTGAGCTGGAGGTCTCGTCGTCGTCCGACACAGCGGACCGTCCTTCCACTCTCCGTCGTAGCTCTTCGTCTTTACGAGCCATTTCTGTTAACCCGGATCGGAAATCGTCGTCCCAGACTGCCCTCTTGACTCTGGACCCCATCTTGGCCCATTTGCTATCCTTGTGCCGTTGTCCGACTCGTTCAAGTGCTCGGCGCCTGTCTTGCGCCTCGCGCTCCTCCTCGGAATCGATCTCGCCAGCCTCCGCCATGGCTTCTTGAGCGGCCATCTCATCACGCTCTCGCTGCTTTCGATGTACTCTGTGATACGCCTTGCTCTTGATTTTCTTGATGCGGGCTGCCCGCTTGGCCTCTCTGGACTGGAGCTCTCGCTCGATTCGCTTCCTGTTGAGAATCTCCTTGCGTGACAGCTCATTTCCCTCGTCGTCGTATTCCCTCTCCTTCTCCTTCTTTGGCTTCTCCATTGAGAGTCCACTCTGGTCCATGATACCGAATATGGCGCTTTCCAGCTCATTCTGAGTGTTGCTGGCGGTGAGGGGCTGCATCTCAGTCAGGTCCAGGCCGGCCTTTGCTGAATTTTCCGGCAGGGGGAAGACGAGATGTTCAGCCCGCCTGTTCTGCTTCACGGTTTCTGTCCAGCGATCGAGGGTCTCGTTCGTCTTCTCGTACGCGACGGTTCGGTCCAGGCGACCTTGTTCCCTCCTCGACAGGGGCACATCGAGCTTCTTGGTGGCGCCGGGCTTCTTCTCCTTTGACTCCTTCTTCATGAGCTTCACCGACTGCTTCATGAAGGGATCGTCGATGCCGCCGAGGCCCAGATCGCCAAGGTTGATTTTCTGCTTGACCGGGGCCTTGTCCTCGTCGTCGTCTTCCTCCCCGCCGAAGCCGGAAACGAGGCCGCGCAGGGCTCGGAGCTGTTCCGGGTCGGCCTCCTCGTCGCCTTCCTCGGCGGAATCTTCCTCATCACTGTCCTCGCCCTCGTCTGATCCTTCTGAGGTTTCAGAGCCGGATGCTTCATCGGAATCCGACTGGGAACCATCCTTCTGCTCTTCTTCTGAGTCCTCTTCCCACTGATCTAGAGCTGTGGCGAGGTCAATGGCTTCTTCTCCTAGTGTCTGACCTTCGTCATCGTTGGAATCATCCTCGGATTCGTCATCGTCGTCATCATCCTTCCCTCCCTATTGTAGTGTCAGAACTTATTCAAGATTATTCGATTTCCTTTCCGCTAATCACCTTGGACTTTGAAGATTTGCTCCCCCCGAAGGAATAGCCCTGGAACTTTTCGTGGTCGCTGTCGCCAAAGGCGTCGTCACTTTCGATTTCAGAGTCATCGTCGTCCTCAGCCAAGCCACCAAGCGTCCACTCGTTGCCCTCGCTGTCGCTCCCATGCTCTGCATCACCACTGACGGGGCGAGGGGCTTTGATCTTCTTCCTCTGAGGCATGTCCTCATCGTCCTCATCGTCCTCTTCATCTTCTTCGTCCCTGCTGTGCTTTCTCTCTACTTCAAGCTCCAATTGCCTATATCGCGGCGTCTTCTTTATTTTCTGTGGGAAATGCTCTTGTGCGATTCCGAAGGCGTTGAGTGCATTCTTCTGGGACCGGTTCTTGGACTTCTTCGTCGCTTTTGACTTGGGCGCCGAAGTCAATGGGCGCCCGTGGGCTTGCCGGCCTGGCATCTTGCAGTTTCTCGTTCAGCCAACTGAGCTGCGACTCGGCAATAAAGGTGCGACGGTTGACTTCAAGCTCCAGTTGTTGGAGGTTGCATCGGATCCATGGCCAAATTTTCTGCCGGTCTGGAAAATTTTGGCGGTGAGAGCCACTAATGGCGGGGACCCTTGCAGGGACCAGCGCCCCAGTTCTTTTACCTATCAGAGCCGCCTGAATAAGTCTTAGCCTATTGCTTTGGCACCAGTCTCGGCTTTTCGCGCACTCGGACGATTCGTCTGGTGAGCATCAGGCGGGCTGGCTCTAAAGACCTCGACCCAGCCCACACCAGGCACAGCACAACTCACATTCTTTTCCAAACAGCAGCCATGGCCTCGCCTTTCTCGCTTGGGGCCAGGAGGCTGGCCTCCCAGCTTCCCTCCAAGTTTTTCGTCTGCAATCAATGCCTCTTGCGCCAGGCTCCCCGAACACCCGCATCAACCATCCTCAATGTCGTACGATCGCGAAGCATCTCGACCGAGACCGCCTCGGCCACTCCTCTGGGCAAGCTCGCGCAGGAGATGTCCTCCCGTGCGGCGCACAGCACCACTGAGAAACTGGCATCCGGCAAACGCTTTCCCAATGTGAATCCCAAGGGCGTGGGATACTGGTTGATCGGTAGCGCTGTCAGCGTCTTCGGCATCGTCGTCTGGGGTGGCCTGACACGATTGACTGAGTCAGGGTATGGAGAACACCTCAATTGACTGTATCCTATATAAGCTAACCCTTCTTCACAGTTTGAGTATCACGGAATGGAAGCCCGTCACCGGTTCGCTGCCCCCCATGTCCCTCGAGGACTGGGAATCCGAGTTCGAAAAGTACCGTGCCTCGCCCGAGTTCAAGCTTCTCAACCCCCACATGAACCTCGAAGAATTCAAGAAGATCTACTTCATGGAATGGTCCCACCGTGTCTGGGGTCGCTTCATTGGCCTCTCTTTCGTTATCCCTGCCGCCTACCTCATCGCCCGCCGCCGAGTGACTGCCAAAATGGCCTGGAATATCACTGGTATCTCTGCTCTCATCGGTTTCCAAGGCATCATCGGATGGTGGATGGTCAAGTCCGGTCTCAAGGATGATCTCTTCGCTCCTGGGTCGCACCCCCGTGTTTCGCAATACCGCCTCACCACTCACCTAGGAACCGCCTTCATCTGCTACGCCTGGATGCTCATCTCTGGTATCTCCATCCTCCGCACCCGCCGCTTCCTCGCCGACCCCAAGGCCGCCATGGACATCATCAAGGGAATCCAACACCCGGCCTTGAAGACCCTCCGCCGGTCGGCCTTCGGCATGACCGGCCTCGTCTTCCTCACATGCATGTCCGGCGGCCTCGTCGCCGGCCTTGACGCCGGACTCATCTACAATGAGTTCCCCATGATGGGCCTCGGCCTGACCCCTCCCAAGTCCGAGCTCTGGGATAAGTTCTACTGCCGCAAGGAGGACCACTCCGACCTCTGGTGGCGCAACATGCTCGAGAACCCCAGCCTCGTCCAGCTCGACCACCGCATCCTCGCCACCACCACCTTCTGCGCCGCCCTCGCCCTCTTCGCCTACGCCCGCTCCGGCCGCGTCGGGCCCGCACTCCCCAACAACATCAGGAAGGGCACCACCGGCCTCGTCCACCTCATGATCATGCAGGCCTCCCTCGGCATCTGTACCCTCCTCTGGCTCGTCCCCATCAACCTCGCCGCCACCCACCAGGCGGGCAGCTTGGCCGTCCTCACTGGCGCTCTCATCCTCTCTCACAGGATGCACGTGCCCAGACCCACGGTCCAGCTCATTGAGCAGAGGCTCAAGCAGCTGGCACAGAAATAAATTAGCTCCTCAACAGAGCATCAATCTAATCCCCCAGCTCCTGTATAAATTTGTATTATCTATTCTTTGGGGGGTTGGTATGACTTCGATACGACATAGGAAGGTCTCTACTTATCTCATTCCCCCTTTAAACTCACCTAACGAGCATGTATACATAGAAGAGCAGCTAGCTCCAACTGATACACGTATAAAAATGAAACTTTTTTTCTATGGCAGTAATTACTAAACTCCTGCAACGATCCCGTTGCGTATTCTATAAGGTTTCTGTAAAAAAAAAAAAAAACAGGCGTCGTTGGCCACTACTGAGCAAGCTGACTATTAACACATCATGAAAAGCTAATAAGAATGAGAGCCACGGGGGCCCGGATGCGAGAGAGAGAGATCATAACCCCCAAAAGATGTCAAAGCGTCCGCTGTGTTTATATAAAAAAAGCCCATCCAGAATATACCCTCTTCCTTCCTTCTATTTTGTTTGTTGAATTCCGAGATTACCGTAAATATATATAGTTGGTAACGATCTTCGCTTCGTCCATAGTGTAGTTGATTTTCGCCATTTATTCCATATACATGCCGTCAGTCCGCATGCCTTGCATTGCCATGCCTAAGTCAGCATGCAACCCATTCGCCTGCATGGCCATGTTCATGTTGGGCATGGACCGGCTCATATTCATCGCCGTGCGGCCGACGGGGCTTCCCGCTCCATTTTGCATGAGAAACCGTTGGTCGGGCAGTGTTCGTTGTTGCTGGGGAATGGGACCTCGGGCTCTGGGAACTTCCAGGGTCGCTTGCTGTGCTGGTTGCTGTTGTATGGGCTGTGGCACTGGCTGCTGTTGCTTAATGGGCGAGGCGTTCATTATGGCAAAGCTGTCATCGTCTTCCATCTCGGCATCGGCATCTTGATCACTAGTCTCCTCTACGGAAGGCGGTGCTGTTGTGTTGGTAGAAGCAGCCGTGTTCTCACTCAGGGCACCATTGGTACTCGCTGGAGACAGCCGCTTTGGAGGCTGATGCGGTTGCGTCTGCTGCTGAGGGGTTTGCGATTGAGACCTTGATTGCGACGGCTGCGAGTTCCCGTTGGTGTCTGTTTCTACGGATGTCTGATCCAGCGACCTTTGAGAGCTCATTCCACTAACAACACGACTGGAGACCACCACATTCTTCCAACGATCAATTGATCGAGCGACCAAGGTGCTGAGGTCCAGGTCGCGGTCCTCCAAACTGAACCCAATGATTGATTGTCCCTTCAACCCCTGCTCGTAGGCATGCGTGATGAACTCCTTGTCGAATGGGATGGTTCCTGGCGGGGATAGTTTGAACTCGCGAGGCTGTTGTAGTCGGTTGAGTTGGTCGATTTGAGATTTGAGATTGGCATTCTCCTGCTGCAGTTTCTGCTGCTGCTCCTTCATCTTCTCGGCCTCCTTGTGTTTTCTGCCTACACCCCGTGCCAGCTCCAAGATCCACAACTCATTTTGACGTTGCGGTGGAAGACTCTCCCACACCGCATAAGCTGACTCAAGATGCTCATTCACTTGCTTCTCGAGATGGTCTGCAGACTTCTCCACCTTCTTGACCACGTCGCGTTTATCTCGGTAAGGACCATTGGATGTGGGATAAGTCAGTTCATCCATGGCATCGGTATTCGCTGTGACACATGATATCTTCCATATTTGAAACTCATATTCAAAGAATGATTTGAGGGCTTCGAATTCCCGTTGGCCGGGGCATTGTACCGACCACGAAGTCGACGTTGGATGTTGTGTAGAGGAGAAAAGAGTCGGGGGTGGTTGGAGGCATTGCAGGGTCAGCGCGGGAAAGTCGAGCGATAGGGGGTCGAAGTCAAAGGGCATCGTTTTGGCGTCAAACTGTTGTCTGGAGTAAAAAGGGTAAGCATAATCGTCACGGGGGGAGGGTGGTTTGCAATTAGATAGGATACATACTTCGCCGCCCGCCAAGAGCTGATGAGCTCTCGAAGAGCCAGCTCAGCAGCTCTTGCAGTATCCATAGCATCGGACAGCTTATGCTTCACATCGAATTGGGCCTTCTGGGCCTGCCGACTGACGCTTCTCTGCATGCCTGGTCGTTTGGCAAGATCGTGTCCATTCTCGCCAATGTCGTTCATCACCCCCGTCACCTCCCATCGTCCACTGGCAAATGGGAACTTGCTCAACTTAGTGTCCACTGCGTACTGGCCATCTTTTGGAATACCGGAGGGCAGGAATGAATCCCTATCGTGGGCCATGCTCTCTTTCCTGCTTGAAGCTTTGGGGGTCCCAATAGGGGTGGACACTTCTCGACGGCCACCGAGAGAGCCTCGAGGCTGTCGTCGTGTAATTCCCCCTCGCATCTTCCGGATCTCGTCTACATCGTGAAGTCCATCGGGCGGTTTCGGGTTCTTTTCTTTAATGTACAGGTCGAGGTGACGTCCGAGCGAAGACGAGGTGAAGGCCTGGCCACAGTAGGGGCAGTTTTTGTCTTTGGGAGCACTATATTTAGGTCCCTTGGCATCTCCATTCTGGCTGTTGTCCTCCATGGCGGACATTGTGGGAAAGACGGAATTAAACAATAGGGAGTAACAGGGAGGTCAGAAGAGGTAGGTAAGGAAAACGCGGCAAGGAGGGGCGGGAGAACCAAGGGATTGGTACGATTAGAACAAGGAATGGGCCAAAAGGAAATCTCGAAGCTCCTCGGATGGAGCAGAAAGAGCAATATGCATAGGAAACGAGCGTAAGAATTGATTGTACGGGCTTGAAGAATAACGAGCGTCTGGTTGGCGAGGTCGGCAAGCAGCAAAACACCTCCCCGAGCTGCCGTCCGTGTATTTAAAGGGGGGTACAGCACTCCTTTAGCTCGACGTCCAAGGCATTGGGAGAACGGTAATTAGGACCGGGCCAGAAAATCTTGCCCCTGGAAGAGCGCAAGCCGACGAGGAGAGAGTTGGGAAGATTAAGGAAAGGTGAGTGTGATTGAGGAAAAAAAGAAAGCGAACAATGGGACGACGAGAGAGAGGAAAGGCAAGCTCGTGGTTTTTTTTGGCTGCTTTTTTTTTTTTTTTGCTTCGCTCCGAGTCGTCCCTGAACACAGAATCAGAGACCCAGCTTGAGGTAGTTCCACTCAGGGGGCGTGGTACCACAGCGATTGGGGGCTCAGTGGGGAGGAACGGCGCCCATTCAGCGGCGGCTGATGGATGCAACCCCCCCGCCCTCCGCCCCACCAAAGGGGAAAACGACCTTAATCCTAGTCCCCCTGAATGGCTGGCCTCTGCTGGAGCTGCCCCAGATTGGCTGCCCGTGCTAGCCTTCCCGCCGTGGCAGGGGATTTGATCGGCCACTCGGACGCTGGACTTCGTTCCGCCCGCTGCCCTACCAGGCCCTCACCACCTATGAGAGGCACTGGATTGGCCCTATTCTTTCCGTGCTCCGCTGCGTTGCGAGTCTAAAAGCCAACGCTGTCTTTGCTCAACAGGCAGTGATAGGCGTTGATGTAATTCCTACGTTCCTGCCTGCTTTGCCGTCCTGTATGTCTCCCAAAAGAGAGAGAAGGAGAGGCAGAGTGTCTCCCAATTTGTAAGTTGGTGCCAACCATACATGGCATCCACAGAGGACATGCAGGAGGTCATTCCAATTACCTGCTCACCTCCAAGTTCTCTCCATTGCTAGTCTGGAGGGGAGAGATCTGCTCCTCGGCCACCCACCCCCCAATTTGATTGGCAGAAAGATAAGACGCAGCAGATTAGGTAGACATTAAGTACAATCAAGCAGGTGATAATTGGCTCCTGTCAGATGGAGAGAGAGCCGCCTCTGTCTCAAAGTCTGACGCACACAGGACGACATCAGCACAGCCGGCCTAATCCAGCCGTTCATTTCAAGCTCCCTTTTGCTGCAGCACCTTGCATATTTCGTCTAGCCGATTTCAAACACCTCGCGTATAGCCAACAGCTACCCGACTACTTTCCTTTGGGACTTATTATTGCCATGCTTATGATGCATCTGGCCGTATGGGCGGAGCGCATGGCAGCCGGAAGACGAGGCTACAGCACATCAGCTACCATCATCCAATATCTGCGCGTATTTTCGCTCCTTTTTTCCCCCCATCGTGCTTTACCTGCCTAGGTACCCAAGCCCCTGAGTGCAGTGAATCACGGGACAAGCCGATTGCAAAGTTTCCTCCTTGGACTACACATACCTTGAAGGCTAATGACTCCCAACGCCACGCCTCCATCGTCAGGTGGACAGAAAGATCAAGCAAAGGCCCAGGGGACAACGGCATGGATGCTGTAAACAGCACCACGGATGGCAAGGGCCGCAGGTGACCCTGGTTCCTGGCAGGCTGCCGCTTCTCACCTGGGTCGATGTCACGACAAGGGGGGCCTTGCGCCTGGGATGGCCAGTTACCGCCGAATCATTGGATTGTTCCATCATCCCAACCGAAGAAGCCTAACAGAATGTCGTGGCCAAGTTTCTACCAGACGGTTCCAACTCCTCTCTCTCTCACTACCGCCCAAGGCTTGGAATTCATAAACCCCACCAAGGCGCTTGGCTGGCCCCAAAGTAGCGCATAATTTCAGCGTCCCCGCTCCAATAGCTCTAAAGCGAGATCGACGCTTGGTCCCCGTTCGATTCTGCCAGTGCAATCGATACGACGGGAGGGTGCACTTGGTGATGCTGCCTATTGCCGGCACGCATACCTAGACTTCCGAAATCGCAGAGGTCCTACCGTGCCAGGTCCCAGCAGCACTAGCCCGGGCTCACATCACGGACTCAGAGCCCCAATCAGCCTCTCCAAGACCGCCGTCTCCTTTTCCGTCCAGCCGTGGCAGTTTCCACAAGTTCCTCGAGGTAGTAATCACTAACAAGCTGCTAGTCTCACAGTAGTGCGCGGCCTGTGGCTTGCTACCAGCCATTAGTGGCTGGCCACGCCTTCATAAGGCACCGGCCACCCGATCGGCCATCTGTCAACATGCATGACCCCTGGTCCGGCTGCGTGCTAGGGACCTTGGTAAACCGTAATTAATCAATCATCTGCCCCCTTGGGGGTCTCGCTGCTGAATCAGACCCCTTTTCTCATTAACGCACCGTCTTCTCTCTCTGCTCAGCCTGCGTGAGGCAAATTAATTACTGTGCGATAATAAGGCTAGCGAGAGCAGTTTGGTAAAGAGCATGTACTTCTCTACAATGTCACTAGATGTTGAGTACCTTAGGTAGTCTCTCAAACCTTGAAAGAGGAAAGGCTTTTTCAGTCCGATAGAAGGGTTTTCCTCAGGAGAGTTCCAAATGGGTGATATTTAATCTGAGACACTCCAATATCATACTGCTTATCGTGAGATTATTGGGGCTAAAGATACAAAAGGCACAACGCACTAATCATAGTTGACTCAACCACTTGACACTACTCCAACTGTAACTGTTCCATTTCTTCAGGAAGCATCCCTTCTGCTTCTCCAGGAGGCATCCCCTCTGTTACTTCAGAAATTATCCAGCTCGCCAAGCCCGCCACCTCCTCGTCAAATGGGGGGATCTTGCGAAGCTTCACAGGGTATTCGTAAAACTCCCCAGGGCCATTGCGAAACTCTAGTCGAAATGGAAGGTTTGTAATAGCGCGGGGAAGTGTCTGGAGACGCATTGCAAAGTCGTCGGGGTCGATTTCCGGGAACTCTACGACAAGTCTGCGTCCGTGTCTACACACGGATATCCCCTCGCACTCCCTGAAAACATGTCTAGCGAGGTAGAACAACACCTCATTCGAAATCTCGCCATTCTCAACATCGGAGAGAATCTTTGGATCAAGAGATCCTGCCCCGGTAGAGCCAAAGCCGTCCACAAAAGGCCAAAAGTCATATCCGGATTCCAGGTCGTCGATAGTCTTCTAAATTGCGATACAACCAGCAATTGAAAAGGGAAGCTTGCGTTTTGGTGGCGACCAGTCGCCACAGAAGAGCACAATGAATCTACCGAGAAGGCTTTTCACACGTACGTCGTATTTCTCGAGAAGATATCGTTTAAACGCCTTTAGGTGTTCAGGCTGAACATGCCGATACGAGGCATAGCCATCTGGGCCAATGAGCGAAAATTCTTCGAACTCGATAGCGACTGTAGATGAATGGATTGAGGGATCTACCGGCTTAGGCGTAAGTCTCATAGCGGATGGACCACTTTCTCCGGTGTCTGCCATGCTTAATAGAGAGGAGTTGTTTTTGGAGAAGAGCTGTTTCTGGAGAAGAGTTGTTCCTGTAAAAGAGCTGTTCCTGTAAGAGAGCTGTTCCTGTAAAGGTGTTGTTTCTGGAGAAAAGCCGTTTCTGTAAACGAGTTGTTTATGTAGAAAAGAGGTGGGCTTGAATGTTTGGGGCACACGTTCACTACTTAGCTACGTAGGCTGAGGAATCAATTTGCCTTCAGCTGCTTTGAATCATTAAGGTATGCTCACATGTTCAAAGCCCCTACCTTCGATATGTTGATTTTCTGCTCAGGCAGGTGCCTTTGTGATATACGATTGAACACCATTGGAAGGCGTAACTAGATGACATCAGATTTCAAGACCCTGAAACATGCTGCTTATCCTAGACTCTGAGACCGGCATTGCCACATACTCATGAGACAATACACTAAAGATTGTCAATTTACATCTCTCTATCCTGCCGTGTTATTCTAGCCGCCGCAGAAAGTGGTCTGCCACCAGCTGAGGTGTTAGGCATCACGTGTGGGTTACGTAAGGTCGCAGCTTGGCCAGTCGCGCCTGCTGTTGGCATCTGGCCGCGCCCGCCTGCGCGCTCCTGTAAATATGCGACAACCCGTGCGAAATGTACTTGAATAGGCCTGTGTACAGCTGAACGCGACTGCATACACCTCTTATCTCTGCACCTGGCCCTAATCGTCTCTGAACAACCAAAATTGACAATGCCTCCAGGTGTGTACCCAACCAATTAAATAATTCATCCTCACACCTACTGCCATCCAGTGCACCCCACGCGCCTCGGTTTTGAAGCTTTCGCCAACCTGTGGACTGTCTATAAAATCGTCACCGCGTCAAAGATGCCACACACCAGCCAATGATGATCTTCGACATCTTTAGAAGATTTCAAAGGACTAATCCCAGTCAACTAGCCCTAAGCGACGAGGAGCAGTCGGATTTCGACGCCGACTTCGAAATGCGCTCGCGTCCTAGTCCGCCCTCTCACTCTTCAGACGACGGAGAGAAGACCAACAATGCCACCACCTCGCGCAGAAAGTCCGAGGTCAAGAATCTCAAAGAGGATTCGGTGTCAGATAAAGTAGAGGATGAGCTCGAAGATGAGGCCGGTGATGGAGAAGACGAGGAAGATGACGACGAGGAAGAAGAGCTGTATGTGGCGCATTGCCTGGTTCCTCACGCAATGCAACAAAGCTAAAGGGCGATTTAGGTTTGTGGTGGAGAAGATCCTGGGCCATATGGTGGACAACAAGGTAGGTCTTGTATCATACCTCAACAGCCCACTTTGACGACAACTTGCTAACGTGGGCGCAAAAGGGAAATATCCGGTTCCAGGTAAAATGGGAGGGCTACGACAGTAAAAAGGACCTCACATGGGAGCCTGAAGACAACCTCACGTATGACTTCCTATCCCGTTCACCAGAGTTCTTTTCTCACCTTGTTTTCATGATAGAGAGGCAACAGAAGTTCTCCAGGAATATTTTGCGGGTGTAGGCGGCCGACAGGCGATCTTGGACCAAACCGAGAAAGCCAAAGCGAAGAAGCGCGGCCGTCCTGGTAGCGACCAACCGGCAGGCACCAAACGACAGCGCAAAAACGGAGTGCACCCTGCCGATACGGAACCGCCGGCGACGAAGAAGAAGTGGCAACCCCCATCTGGATCGTGGGAAGACGATATCGAGAATATCGACGCCTGTGAAGAGGAAGGAGGGGGAAAACTGGTTGTCTACCTGAACTGGAAGAATGGGCAAAAGACCAAGCATGAGACATCGGTCATCTACAAGAAGTGTCCCCAGAAGGTGAGCCGGGGCTGTACATTGAATTTGTTTAGTGGAGATTGCGACTGACTCTTTCTAGATGCTTCAATTCTACGAACGACATGTGAAAATCATCAGGGAGGAAAACAAATCTTTGGCCAATGATGACTGATCCGGGATGGATCGAGCCAAAGAGCATCCATCGGCAGGGTAATAATGAATGCTTGGGGTTTTGATTTCGCGCAATGTTCTGTTGTTATGGGGCGTTCATTCTAGGTTTTTTTTGATTGCGTACTGTCTGTAAAGTGAATTTCAGATATCATTGGATTCACCACGATCCTTCACTGCTCAATACTCTGCTCTTTCTCGACGTGCCCCACCTTCTCAAAGAATGAGACTCAAGGTGAATGAACATGGAGTACAAGGATCATCAACTATTGCTGCTCTCAACTCGTATCAATTACAGGGATTTTCAAAAAGCACCAGGGATTGCATGGGAAGACTCATCAGAAACTCCATATAGGTGACGTTGGCACCTATCCATTAGCGCAGCCGGAGAGGTGGTTGGTCCGGCAGTGAGAAACCACGACTCATCTATCCGCAAACTGGACATCAGGCGAGCAACGGCCATTGGCAGCGCAAGCTTGTTTCAGCGATGATGGAACCCTGGCAGGCCCCTGCTAGCCCGGAGTTATAGAATTTTCTCTGCTGTTCCTGATGCTGGCGCTCGGCGTTGGCGGGTCAGTCGATCCCGGCCACCCGCCCAGCCTTGCGATTTTATTGACTTGGGCGTAAAAACGGGTGGCGGGGCAACAGCTCTTATAAGTCGTGGGCAGCAACCGCCGTGCAACCACCCTCCCGCCTTTCCCACGCATTCATACCTGCATTCCATCCATTCCAGCTGTGCATTCTCTCCCAAATCCAATCAAAGGAAGAGACAGACGCAATTCTCGTCGCATCTCTGGTCTTTTGCATTCCTACACCGTACATCCATCACCCCACCACGGGCTCATTCCGCGACTCCCCTCCAGAGGACCGTCTATTGGCTGGTAAGTACCTAGTCGACACACACACAATGGCATTGTTGCCCAATATCCTTACGACGCATTGTACTGACTGGATGGAACGCAGGTTTTCTTCTGTTGCACATTGCGCATAGTCCGGCCTTCCCACCCGAGACAACTCTATTCCAACTGCTTGCTAGCTTGAGTCTTCTCACAAGACAAGAGCCGTTGAATTCCTCGAAGCCCACTCGAGACCTTTTGCTTCCATCGAGTCAGATCTACGACAGCACAAGTGCATCGATACACGGGCGCCATACCTAGACCGCAGCCATGAAGAAGAACGACGTCATCGCTATCATCGTCATCATCTTGTTCCTGGTGCTGGCCGGTGTTGCCTTTGGCATTGCGACTCTTGTGCACCAGTTCCGGAGGCAAACAGACGGCTCGCACAGTGGAAGCAGCGGCAGCAGCAGTAGCAGCGATGATTAAATTCCCCTCCACTTGCCCCTCTGGAAGAGCGTATCAAACTTGTGTCCGGCTCGGTCGTCTCCGAGACCACCAGGGCCCAGTCGTACAAAGATACAATGTTCTTGGCAAAAAGGGTGGTCCATTCCTGCTTTCAAGTCTGTTTTATCTTCGCACACCTCATGATGAGCGAAGCTGGCAAACCAAAAATGACGATGCCTTTATTAATGAATTTGAGGATGCAACATGCATCGACATGTTTTTACGAGTTGGATATTTAACGGGGTATGTTTATACACGAAGAGAGTACGCATTCGAGGACCTCCGCTGTATGGGTGGCGGCAACCTTGTCGATCTTCTTTGATATTTTGATATTTATCTGATTGGGGAGCGGGCGCATTACGAGGAGTCATCATGGGTATTAGTGTTTCAAACTTTTGGATATGGGGATTGTATTTTTATCTACCTTTTTTGGATATGTGGCCAAGATACACATCGACTAGCACAGGAGGATTTTGGAAAGCCGCGAAACGAATGCATTAGAATAGACAAACTGAATAAACATATAGCTCAGATTAAGAGCTAAAGATAAACAACACATGTTCATATCGCCGAGACCCAGTGCTTCGTAGATGCTTTATTTCAGTCTCAGCACATCACTCCTGTGTTGGGTACCAGCAGGCAGTACTCTTGTCTACATATTACGACGGTCTATATGAAATACATTCGGGAGGCAGCGTTGTAGTTTATTAGAAGTCGATACGAAAGTGGATAAAATAGTCTGAAGGACACTTTTCTTGCACCCAAACAAACGGCATACACTCCCAGTCAGAAAAGCCCTCCTGAATCAAGAAAGGCAGTGCCGTCGCGAGACAACATTTCGAAAGTAGAAAAGAGCATACTTTCAAATCTCAACTCCCATGTCTCCTCCTTCAGTGCAGAGCATCGACAGTCGGGGAGCCAGTCCTCAAGTTTCACACCTAACCTAGGCCTTGACCGTGAGATTCGTTCGGGTCGAGAGACCTGCCGCCACATTAGCTTCCTCGGACGAATGGTTCATATAAGGGCATACTTGCCGTTTGTAGCGAGTGGCCGCGTACCGATGGTCGTGCTATTGCCCAGGGGAAAGCTCGTTCCATCCGCCTTGGTGGGAGCGCGAGGTCCCACTTCTAAACAAAGTATAAGTAAAATATGATGAGATTAGATGGCTTGAGGGGTAATGTGTGGTTGCTCACCTCGTCTGATAGGAGCCAGCTTGTCCACCATGCGGAAAGGAACCGCGGTGGCGAAGGGCCAGGCCGCGAGCAGGACGATGAGGGTTCCGGACAGCTTCATGGTCAACTAGAGGTCTCGGTTTGATGACTGAGATGATGAAAAGCTAAGAGAAAGCGTAAGAGAATGAGTGGAAAGTGGGTTGGGACGTTTTCAAGGCAGATAGCTGATGTGTGCTAACCAAATGAGCGAGGATAAAGAAAGAAGATAGCCTCCAAGCAAAATTTGCTTAATGTCTGAGAAGAAAGAAGATCGAAGGTGGGATAGCAATCATGGGATTCCGATTTTATAAGCACCCGATTCATTGGTACAACAGTGAAAACGAAAAGAAGGGACCCGGCATTAGGTTCCCAACACAGAGCTATGGGAGTTGTCCTTGCAAGGAGCAAGTTGGGAAGGACAAGAGGGACGCAAAGTCGGCACAACGTAGCAAATGAAGCGAAAAGATCGGGATTTACGGATAGATACAGATCGTCATGGTAAAAGAACCCGGGAATACATGCAGCAAGGCGGGTGAGATTACAAGTTTCTCTCTCCGAGCAGGTACAGCAGCAGCACTCTGCACCATCCCGTATGAGACAATGCAGCCATGCGAAGATTTGGGTGCCAATACATGTCACGAATTAACTAGTTAACAGTATACTTGCTCTCATTGGCGGCTGGGTCGCTTCCTCTAACATTCTAATGCATGTGGCAAGGAAGTGGCCTGCGGTTGGCGGAGAGAGGACGGATTCCTGCATGTCTAAGGCTATGTGTAACCTGCGGGTAAGATGAGAAAATCCTTCGTCTTTTTTTTCGTAGGTATCACAAGATAGTTTGGGTCTTGTACGTCAAATTTTGACTCACGCGTCATGCATGATGCGTTTAGGGTTGTATATGTCGACAGGCAGGTGAGACTTAATAGTGGAAAGAATAGATAGGTGAAGACCACAAGATACTCTCGAGTTTTGTATAGGAGTCTAGAAGACATTGCGACGTAGGAGATCTCTTGGAATTTAAAACCTGCACAAATCTGGACAGCCAAGCACTCGTTGGCTTTTCAACTCTTGCTGCGTTTGTACTTATTCTTTTAGACGCACTTGGCCCCATGCCCGACAAGGAGTCGTCTCAAACAAATAATGTTTCTCCTACATAGAGAGCATGTTAATATCGACGGTGGTCTTGTCAGGTGTTTCCTATGCCACTTCGTTTTATCTCTGCATACTGCTATGTATAATTCCATGTCTATATCAAAGGAGGGTCAAGGATCGTATACAAATTCAACATGACCATCCATCCAAAATTCTGCATGACACTCTCCACAGAAGGCATGAGTGCCTTCTCATAGACTTTTACAACAACTCGCTCCAGCGACGAAATGCCTTTCAGCTCCTGATTGATCCGGGGTAATGCGTCTCGAGCGAATTTTGAATCGCAGTCCTTCTCTTCCGTTAAACCACTGGAATTTTGGCGATTGACCTGAAGTTCCAGAGTCTTCAGCCTCGTGCACTGCGCTCGAAGAAGCTCTAAAGCACGCATGCTATCACCCTTCAATGCAAATTCCGCCTCTTGGGCCTCTACCCTCTCCATTACTGGGAAACTGATAACCAAGTGTGTGATCAAGGAGGCGTTTGCAGGCCCGATCCCACCGAGGAAGTTGTGCAATAGCTCCGTCTGTGTGTGCGTCACGTCTAAAAGGACGAAGCGATTGGCGCCGTAGACGATTTCTCTGGCCTCGCTGTATATAAGGTGGTTGGTGAAGAGAAACGCGCTCCATCTCCGGGGATTGGTGGGCGCAAGAGCATTGACTTGGTTGCCTGTGCCGTGGAAGAGGAAGAAGGTTTGGCCTGCGCCTAAAACCTCCTCATATATGGAAATCCGATTTTCAGCGGGCAAGCTCAAGAAGCATGCCATAGTCGAGATGACGCTTTATTTCGACTTCTTGTTCCCCGAGTTGGAAGGACTCTTCCTTCAGATCTCGTTCGTGTGAGATCTCCACTGAGCTTAAGGATGAGAAGCAGCCTTTTCCAATCGCTTAATTAAGTCTTAACTAACATTGGAGGTGAATCTAAAGCACACAGATCGCATAGGCGTCCAGTTTAATACGATATATGTGTCTATGCTTGACATGGTTCACAGCAGCACGAGAATCAAAGAGTGTAATGCTATGTCACAGTCCGATTGCAACTCATCAAAATTCAAAGGAAGAAAATATCTGACGAGATCAAACACAGGTTACTACCAACAGCCTTATGAGGCCGCCAAGCGGGGTCAATTGTTTCTACTCTTGAGCCAGCTCAGGAACATGTTGGTTGGTGATAATGCGACTCAGCTGGTTTCTATGGAGCAACATGCCCCATTTCGATATTGTTCTCCTGCAGTTGGCGCTATAGTCTTAGTTACTTCATGCTCTAATAGATAATTTTCCATCGTACGCATAACCCAAACAGGTTCATAGTAATGCGCCGTTCTTGCGTCGGCCCTAACATCCTATGCGCTTCCCCGTGCTCCAGCCAATGCAACAATCATGACCATGTCTTGAGCCGTTCCGATAGCCTCGTGGTATCATATATATATACTAGAAATCCAATATAACCAACCCAAATCTATAATCTATCTTTTCCTTGGAGAATGCGCAAGAGGAAAACATAAAAAGGCTAAGAAAGAAAATTTGCACTTCCCAACGCACGCCTACCAGCTCATCAACCCCTTGGACCTGTTGAACCCTCCCCGCAGCTGGTCCTCGGGCTTGACCACCTTCCCCTTCAGCACGGTGAAGTTGATGAGGTTCTCGCAGTCCTGGGGCATCACCCTCGCAAGCCAGATGCACTGCGCGGCGCCCACGTCGCCACCGCCGTCGCCGTTCTGCTGCTCTCCCTCCTTCTTCTCCTCCGTCTCCTCGTCCTGCCCGAAGGCGTTCGGCCGGCGGTACACCATCACGTTGGCAGAGTATGCGTGCCCGCCCACGTGGCTGATGAAGTAGATGCCCACCCCGCCCGGCCTCTCGTCGTGCGCGTCGCGGTACAGGCCCAGGGGCCGCAGGTGGCGCTCAAACTCCTTCTTGAGCAGGGGCGCGCTCTGGCCGCAGCGGGCGTCGCGCGTGCGCTGGCTGCACAGGAGGATGACGGCGGAATGGGGGCACGCGCTCGCCGTCAGGTCGCCGGGGAGCCCCGCGGGGAGGGAGAAGGGCTGCAGGGGTGAGGTGGTGGTGGGCGCGTGGTTGACGACGTCGGCGATGAGGCTGCCGGCGTTGGAGGGGGTCACGTTGTGGATGTAGGTGAAGGCGGGGAGGAGGAGGGTCGTCGTCGGTTCGGAGTAGTCGGCTGTGTTGTGCGGTGTCGGGATATTGCTTGCCGATAGCATCATCCTCTATTTTTCGGTTGGTTAGTTTCCAAAGCGCCCCTCCCCCCGCTCACGGGTTCACTCTCAACCTCGGGTGTGCAGGCAAAAGACATGGTTGAGGGGAATAACTCACCCCGTTTGTGGGCGAGGCCACCTTGGAGACGGCCTCCATCACGCTGCCCTTCTCGTCCGCCACGTCCCTGACCCAGTCGGTCTTGCCCGTGCCGACGAGCAGGTGCGTGCTCCACGCCTTGACGTGCCCGTACAGCACGTCGTCCTCGTTGATCTTAAAGCCCCGCGGGTACTTGACGCTGCAGCTGGCGCAATCGTGGAGGCATGCGTCGCCATCAACGGCCGGGTCGGTCTTGGCGAACAAGGCGCCCATCGGGGCCGGGCCGCCCTCGGAGCCTGCGCCTCCGAAGACGGAGGAGACGATGGATTTCAGCGACAGCGCCATCTTCTGCTTGAGGGGGGGTTTCCGCGTCGGGGGAGGGGGGACTACGGGGTCTGTAGTCATGATGGAACGAAGGAAGAAGAGGGAAGAAAAAAAAGGACCGTAGTAGAGCGGCGACGGGGAGTGGGGAGCAGAGGAGCTCGCCCCAGAGCCAAGTGAAATCAGATTACTACGATTGGCAACAGATTTCAAACGCTGGACCGACGCTGTCCGAGTCGCTCGTGTGGAGTAAAGTGGATATAGCAGCTGGAGTCCGGATCTGATAAAGGTCGGTCAGCGGCACTCGCCAGGTTGAGACTTCAGTCGGCAGCGGCAGGGAGAAAGGGTCAGGCAGCACAGGACTCGGTCGGCGGGTCAGTTGGGACGAGGCACGCCGTCTCGACGTTTTATATTTTTCCTGCAGCTTCTTTTTTTGTCCTTTCCGGGGTCCAACCGCGTCATGGCCAATGGTCAGCTTCCTCCACCGCGTATCTCCGAGTCCTCAGCGCATCGGCCAATTCGACGATTCGAAATCCCCGGCGCCAAAGACGGCGATTAGACTTGCAAAGACGCAACACCCCTGTGTCTCTTTTTCTCCGCACCTTGTGTGGGGTGCCAATCACTTCGTATCACTTGGTGATTATCTGATTCTCCACCGCGCCGGTGAAGTCGGGTACAGCAACCACTTTACTACTGAAAACGCAGAATAGCATTGTTGCCGTTGGTCCACATATTATATGTTGTTACAACGGAGATAATGCGGTGAATAGAGAGTAGTAATGAATTGATTGGTATCGCAGACAAAAAGGATGTGTTTAGGGAGAACAAAATGGGGCATTATATACAAGATAGATTAATAGAAAAGGCCGTTCATTCGACGTATCCCAGGAATTTATTTGCTTCCCAAGATGAAGTAGCCCAGCACCCTAGCCATGCAATTATAGGTTCTTCTTCCTTGCTTCGGCATATTCCTCATTCTCGACTTCGCTCTCACTGTCTTCCTCTGCGCCAGCCTCCATCTTCACCTTGTCAGACTTCTTCCGGCGATCCTTCATTGCCTCTCTGAGTTTACGGCTAGCTTCATTAAATCCTTCAGTGGAATCAAGCGCAGTAAATCCGCTGATGTGGAAGCCGCTTGAATTAAACCCACCTCCACTGCTGTTCGACCGCGACCTGGACCGGGACGGTGGCCGTGTGGAGAAGAAGCCGACCTGTCCAATGTTGCTGAAGGAATCGTGGCGGGGTAGTGCTCTGCTGGATGCCGTTGTGCTACGACGCAACAGCGAAGTTGTGGGAGGCGACTCTGGTTCTGCGCCAGCATTGCTGCCCTCGCTGTCTCGTCTTCTCCATCCTCCAAATGACGGATATGGTGAAAATGATGACATTTGGGGTGTGAATGGCGAGAATGTTGAGGCAAATTGAGGCGAGGTGAAGGTCGACGGAGCAGGCGTTTCCGTTTTGTACGGGTCTGGAACCAGGCGAACCTTTTCGAAGTCGGGATACATCTCTGGTCCCAGGGTGTTGATCAGGTCCGTCACCTCTGCGCTGAGCTCCTCCCTTCGGAGTCGCAGCTTTTGGATGCTGAAACCAGACCAGGGTGACAAGCAGAGAACCAATGGGCGAAGAGACTTGAAGATATCCATACCAACCTCGCCAAAGCGCAGAGATGCGAACGTGATACCAATCATGAGTGGCCACACGGCAAAGTACACAACCCAAAGAGGAACCCACTCAGGGACATGGCCCCAGAAGCGGTCGTGCCAGACTTTAAGAGTGAGCAGGATGGAGTAGAAGTGATACAGGGCTGGCGCGAAGCCGCAAGCCACCAAAATCTTCCACGTTGCCATGACATCTCGGCCTTGGATCTTGACCGTGGAGCCGGCCAGAGCGGCCTTGGCTTTTTTGATGGAAATGATCTTCGTGGCGACGAAGACGGGAGCGAAAAGCACGAGACCTGGTACCGTGCTGAAGAACAGCAAGATGAGTTTGAGTGAACGATATATGGTGAGGAAGATGACCTGGAAGATGGACATGTGGGCGTATTGGACCTGATGATCCTTCAAATTGAGGTAGCGGAGCTGTGAATTGTAGTCCTTGACATCCTTCACCAGCTTCTTAATGCGCTTATCCTCTTTGTATTTCTCGTAACCCATTGCCAACCTCCTGTTAAGCTCCACAACAATTGGGAGAGGAAGCTTTTTGCCGGTGGGGTTGTATAGCCGTCTGGTCGCCTGGATCAGCATCAGAGTATCATAGTCGGGCGCTGAAACGGTCACGGAGTTGAGAGCCTGATACACTGTATCAATGACATGACCGATGGCTTCACGGCGCTGATTGTTGCGGTACTTTTCGACCACGCGGGATGGGATCTCGAAGGGGGCTCCGAACTCGATGACGGCGCGCGACCGGAATTTGTGAGGGTGGAAGTAATTCATTCCCACAGGAACAATCTTGAGCCCGCAATTAGGGTCTTCGGCCAATGTTCCAAGTGCCATGATGGCCACACCGGCCTTCAAGGGCAACAGGTCTGTGCGGTCATGGCTACCGCCCTCTGGGAAGATGCCAACACATCCTCCACTTCTGAGGCGAGAAAAGACAGCTTCGTAAACCTTGGTCTGGTCGGTGTGGGGAGCAAGCTTGAACTTGGTACCCTCGTAGCCCGGCGCAGGGCCGTGAACGTCCTTCTTAGTGAAGTTGCCATCTGCGTCAATGTCGTCGCGGCCCGTGAGCTGGAACAATGCGAGCTTGCCCTTGAAAGGTCGCTTCACGCGGATCTCCTCGGGGCTGATAATCTCAGCAATATCGACACTCGCGCCAGTCTGGCCTTTGGCCGGAGGAAGAAAGACCATGCCCTGGAGCTCGCCCTCGCCTGCACCAAACTTGGTGCCAGCACCTCGCACTAGGGTCGGGTCGTTGATGGGGTCGGGGAGCCAAATCTTTCCTGTGGCAGGCTTGGCAGCATCCTGGGCGCGTCCGACGGGGACGGAACCGACCTGACGGGATCCCCAGCCAATAAATCCATGGACCGACTTTTGGGCAATGAGAAGGGAGACTCGGCGGCCTGCTTCGTGTTTCAAGGTTCGCTGGAGGAGAAGGGCGTCGACGAACTGCATCGGGAACAGATTAGCAAAGGGACAGGCGCAAGCAAAAAAGGATGCGACGGCGCAAAGAGGGCAGCGCCGTCAGTGCCAACCGCTATAACTTACCTGGTTTGCATGCGGAGCTGCAACAAATAGAACGGGCCCCGACTGAGGAACTCGCCATGAGCCTCGAGGAACAACTTCCCTGAAGAAGGTGTCGACGAGGTTGCCCATGACGTAGAGGAAAAGATCATATGTCCAGTTGTTCATTGGATAGAGCTCCTTGTGCGGGGTAGGAGTTGCCTGCTCCTGGGGCGGCTCAGTCGCCTTCTCGGGGGCCTGGGAGGCCATGGCGAAGGTCGGATTTCGAGGGACTGCCTAGTCAGATGGCTGGTGGTTGTCGCTAGTTCGAGTTCAGGTTGGAGTTGAGTCTAGGAGAAGAGGCCAAGCAGGACGGGTTGCAGAAGCAAACTGACGAGGGTTTGCGGAGGGAGACAGGGGAGTTATGTAATTGGATAGGTACCTAACGACAGCCGCCACCCATACCTTAAACTTGGCTCTGAGACTTCGGCTGGCTGGAGTCGACTGGGGTTCGAGGGAGGGTCTAACTCACTGTAGTCAAGGGAGGACAAAAACTGGGCAGATGTGTGGTGTATCCGGCCCATACCGGCCTAGAGGCCAGATGGATCATGGAGGAGGAGGCTCAAGCTTTGCTGCCTCTGGCGCCTTCTGTGTAGCAGGTAGCGCGTCTGAGCAGGAGCTAAGTTCCCTTGAGGTCCACCTGGAACCGTCTGTCCGAGCACCGTCCGAGCGCTGAGACCACGGAAAGTCACTGGACATACCGCAGCGCTCCATCTGCAGCTGCATGTAGCTCCCCATTCTGCACTCCAGCTCGCTAACTGATGCCCAACATTAGCCTTGCTTTGCGCATACATCGAAATGTCATTGAGGCCTTGCAGCCTCTCCGATGCTACGCTGATACGCTGCCGCCTGTCAACCGCCAGCTGGAACCAAGCTCTCCAGACATGGAAGGTGGAAACTCCCGTCAGCCCTCATCCAAATGACTTGCAGGCTGTGCAAGTGGATTGGTGATCTCGGGCCATCCCTATAATACGAAATTTTTCCTGTCTGTCTCTCCAATTCACACGTGATAATGGATTCGACTCGCAACACGCCCCAGTGAACGGCCAAGGGCCCAAATGAGGAATCTCCCTTGGTCTGGCCCATGCGCCCTTCATTCCCCGTTCTAGGTAGAGCGCTGTTCAAATATAGGTGCCCGGCCATGGATGTGATGGAACAGGATAACAAGAATAGGCGCCAACAGCCGGCACAGGAAACCGCCAAGAGCAAGTGTGAGCGTCTGAGGTGCGTCTCCTTCATGCGCGCATCGCTACCATCACACCCGTTGCCTGATCTGGATAATCTCTGGCGGAAAACTTACTCCTCCCGCTGGGTGAGCTCAACAAAACTCTGCTCAGTATCCAATCAGCCGCCAGATCCCTCCTCCTCCTCCTCCTCCTCCTCCTCCAAAAGCTCGTTGGATTTGGGGGCGAGAACACTGGTCGGGCATTTACTAGTCACGAAGCTTTTGTTGGTCTAGGCACACCCGGACGCTGACCTATTGAACTGCTTTCGTGGCAAGTTCGAGATGGTGATCACAGAACCACTTTTATCACATCCCACCATCCCCTCGCCATCCCTGCACACCAGAACGCGGTACGTACATTCCTATTCATATGTGCGAATAGCTATTGCCAGATTGCGTCAAGGGCAGGATTGTCAGAGGTGTCACAGTAATCTTGCTCTCCAACAGCGGGCGTTCGCGCTGATACATGGTGCTGGACCCTCCACGGGTGCCACGAGCGTCAGGAGACTTTCCACTTGTTCCTGCAACCCAATTCTTCGCTCCCAAGAATCGTCAACGAGCACCAGGCCCGGGTCTCCCGTCTTCTCCCTGTGCAATTTGTGGAGATGTTCCGGGGTCGCACGGGTAGCTTCCCGGACGTACCCACAGAACCATTGATCGTGTTCGCCTGGAGCCGGGTAGAGAGAAGAGCTGGAAGTGAGATGTTGGATGTGTATTGCCTATACTGATGGCTCACGTCTGCGCATGGCCTTGATGAGCATCCCGATCCCGGCAAATCCGCTCAAGCAAGTGGCCTGTTTTGGTAGTGTGATACTGCCACCCTGTCACCGCGAGAAGCCACATCAATGTGCCTTTGTTATCAGACTGACACCCTCGCATTCCTTAAGGGTCGCATGTTTATCTAGGTATCAAAACGGTTCTGGGAAACCGCCTATACGGAGCTTATTCGGCTAGTTGCAGTGGAGGGCTCCGGCCCTCCATTTTTTCCCACTTGGCCGGGATATGTTGGAAGCCTTACCATTGGTTTACTTGAGACGGAGGTTCAAGAGTTGACAAAAACGGTAATCAATAAAACTCCATATGTCGTGAGAAAAATGAAATATGTCTACAAAATCACGCAGGTTTCAATAAAAAGCTCGCCCCTCAGTGCTCCCACGTGGAGATGTCTCAAGCTCGCGTAGCATCACGAGTGGCTTACCTGGAAGAGCCTTGTTATCCGCCCCGGATACTTGCCCCTCCCCAGAAAATCTTCCCTACAGCTATTCCCCATTCAACATGCCTATCAACGTGGGGATCAAAGCGGGAAGGCCTTCTCCCATGGCTTTAGACACTGCAGAGATCACTTATGCATGGTAACTCCAAAGTGCGGCATATCTGAAAGGTAGACCGGGAGTGGGTGTCTCCGTGATACAGCTCCTATTCGCTACAGTACATATCCCCAGGAAATATATTGGTCAAAATAACCAAGGCATGCAAGATTCGTTATCTCTCCCTACGTCCTTCGGACAATATCACAATATCCCGCACCTCTGAGCATACAAGGATCCTTCCGTGGGCTTCATCTTGCATGCAATTGGCCAGGCTATCACAATAATGGTGCTGTCTCATGCATGAAGTCGCCATCAGCCATGGCACATGCATCTCTTTGAACGGTAACTCCCCACTTCCGGCTTGGTATTCAGTCTCCCCAAATGCAGATATTTCCCAGGCCAGTGGCACGGACAAAACACGGGAGGGATCCCTCTTTCCTGTCCGTATCCCCTCAGCCTGAGACATATGGTCCAAGTTGTCCGACCCCAAGCACTACTAACCCAACAAAATGAAGACTTATATCCCGATTCCCAACTTTTCCACGCCTCCTCCGGCCGATGGACCACTAGATCTGGGTCATATCCTCCATGACCTGACCTACTCCAGCATCGCCGCGCCCCTAAACAAGGAGGGCCATGTTGCCATCCCCGACCGCCTCCAGCCGGACAAGAAGGAGGGGTTCAACCTCAGTCGCAAGGAACTGCTGAGCGGAGAGTTTGGCATCTTCGCCAAGTTCCTTGCCATGTTCGGAGTCGGCGCCGAGGCCCCGTCGTCTTACGAGAAGAGTGCTGACGATATCCTGACCGTCGACGCCCTCGAGACCATCACCTTCTCGCCGCAGAGAGAGTATATAGAGAAGAGCATGAACGACTACAGAGTCAAGTCGCGGATGATGGCGTGCCAGTATAGGGAGCCCGTCTTCATGGTGACAGGGATGAAGATGGCACGTGGAGCCTCGCTGCAGAGCGACCTGCACGAGGTGGACGGGAAGTCGCCGTTCGGCTTCTGCAGCCCCCAGGGGGTTTCAGGCTTCGACATACCCTTCGTTGGCGGCGGTGCAGGGAATCATGCAGGAAAGTCCCTTGACAATTCGACCGACTTCATACTCGCCCTCAGGCTCAAGAAGATCTTCTACAGGGAGGGCAAAATGCTGACGAAAGAGTACCACAAGGTAGCCACCATCATGGATCATATCACTGGCGAGATGTACAGCGCCGAGCTGGAGTCTAGTGATGATGATGTTGGACTGCAGGATGTGCCCTTTGGCAATGACATGGTCCTGGCCGGGGGCAATACTCACGATGAGGACGAGCTTTGCTACCTTGCGTTTCCTAAAGGTTTCTAGACGCTTGTATTCTGCTTTATTTCTACTTTTTTTTCTTTTGTTTTCGTTTGTTTTAACACCGAGATGGGAAACATACTTCAGCGAGATGCATTTTTCGTGCGGATTCCCGAGAAACCTATGCCAGGCTGAAAACGATTCATGCATGCCACATAACCAGTAAGAATCTCATTATCATGAGATGAAACACCATGTAGCCCCAAGCGACTTTAAATAGTTTTACTTGTATTAGTTTCCCCGCCAAGCATGAGCGTCAACAACACCAACTAGTTGGGCCGTTATTAGAATAATATATACCAACTTCCTCACGGCGAGGTGTACTTGTACCCATACTTTTCCTTCGCCCTGTCAACTAGCTTCTTCACCTCCGCCTCGGCCTCCACACCCGCAGCGTCCAGCTCCTTGAGCAGCGAGTTCCTAAAGGGCGCAGGGAGAGCCAGCCCGCGCCTCACGGCGGGGCGGTCGGTGCAGCGCTTGAACCACGCTTTCACGTTGGGGAACTGCGCGAGGTCGAGGGCGGAGTTACGCGAGTTGTCCACCCAACCGAGGAGGGCGATATCGGCGATGCTAAACTTGCCTCGCGAGGGGCCCACGACGAAGTCGCGGTCGGCGAGGCGGGCGTCGAGGATCCCGTAGAGGCGCTCCGACTCGCCGACGTAGCGCTGGATGCCGTAGGGGATCTTCTCCGGGGCGTAGCGCACGAAGTGGTTTGCCTGGCCCTGCCTGTGGTTGTAGAAGATTAGTTAGACGTCTGTATCACAGAGGTCAATGGGGTGGACTTACATCGGTCCCAGGCCGCCGTGTTGCCAGCCGATCCAGGCCTCCGCGCGGGTGTAGTCGTCGTCGTCCACCGCGAAGGAGAAGCGGTTCTCTGTGTCATAACGACGGGAGAGGTATCCGAGGATGGCGTTGCCCTCGAACACCGCCAGCCCGCCGTTGTCGTGGTCGACGATGGCGGGGATGCGGCCGTTGGGGTTGATGGCGATGAACCAGGGCTCCTTCTGGATGTTCAGGCCGATGTTGATGGTCTGGGAGGTGTACTCCAGGCCGTAGGCGTCCTTGAGCTCCTCGAGCAGGATGGTCGCCTTGAAGCCGTTGGGGGTGGGGCAGGTGAAGAGCTCGATGCCCTTGGTTGCGATGGTGCCTGTTGGTCGCGCCATGATGATAATAAGCTTCACTCCAGACTGTTTTACTTAGGTAGGTACTGCCTCGTTTGATCGAATTCTTTATGTAGTTGGTTCCTGTCGTCATTCTCGCTCCCCCCGTGAACCCCGCCGTCGATAAATAAATCAATGTTTACCCCTCCCCCGCCTCCGTTTGATTTCAAAGCACCGGCGTGGGGAAGATACGAACAATCCTAGTAGGACTTCCAATCACACCAATTACGTTATTGATGTCTCTCAAGGATGCACTCCACAGCAAGCTTTCAGCACCTTGGTGGAAGTACGAGCTGCATACAAGGCCAAGATTTGAATGTGTGCCTGTTTACTTGAAGGGAATCTTGGGTTCACGGTTAGGTCATAGAACGATCGCTGGTGGTGATCTAGTATCTATCATGTTCTCTAAAGAATATGATATAGCTACGTAATGTCATGACCTGAATACTCATCATCTCTTCCCTCTTCGCCTTCCCTTCTTCTCAGGAACACTCGCCGTGCCACCCTCTATCTCCCCTTCGCCTAGCTGCCCCTCGTTCTCCATCTCTTTCAACTTCTCCTGTCCTGAGATAAACATGGATAAGTCCCTGTTCATCTCCTTGAGCTCTTCGTTTTCCACCTTAAGCTCTTCCATCTGCTTCCGCACTGCTTCATTATCCGTACTAAGGTGCTCGATACGCTTCATCAACCCCTCATTTAGTCGCTTCTCCTCTTGTGTTGACTTTCCTAGATTGCGAGCCAGCTCCTGACTCTTGGCAGCCCGCTTCTTCTCCCTCTCTATGTCCCTCTCCAGCTGGGGGATCGTCTCCTTGGTCAACGTATCATACTTCTCACTGAGCAGTGAGAGCTTCTGTGTGGCCTGCGAAGCTTCGGCGGCGGCAGCCTCGGCCGTAGCAGTTGCCTTGGAAGCCTTGTCCACAACCTTCTTGATCATTTCTTCGTAGTAGGCCCGCTGTGATTCCAGCTGGCTGGTAATCAGGTGCGTGTACTCGAGGCCGATGCTCTCCAGCTTGGCACGCGGCACGACATCCTCGTCCTCCAGTCGCTGCTGGTCCCGGTGGTCATGGTGGCTACGGCCCGGAAGCTCGACGACTTTACCATCTCCTTTGTCCCGTATCAGCCGGTGCACCCACATGTCGCCCGCGTAGTCCCACACATGCTGAGTCTCCAGCTCGAGCGAGAAACTGTGAGCCGTTTCCTTCCAGTGATCCTTGGCGTGGCCGCCCTTGTAACGGCCGCAGCCTACATGGCCACAGATGAGGCATATCCACAGATCATCGGTAGAATCGCATATACTGCATAAGTTGGACACGGATGTTCCAAACGGCTGAGTGTAGGGGTCCGCGGGATCGTAGGCCCCGCTTTGCGAAGCATTCGTGAACCGGCAGACAGGGCAGCCAGCGCCCTTCCAGTTCTGCAAGCAGGTGCAGTGGAAGACGTGGGAGCACGGGATTGTCATCAACCCGTTGGTCTCGTCCATCCTTTCCAAGCAAACCGGGCATGTTGGTAATTCGATAAGATCGGGTGTAGGTGGGGGGAACGGCTTCAGACTATTCGAAACTGAAGAGGAGGAGACTGCAGCGGGAATATCGATCGTCGGTTGCGTCGGTTTTCTAAAGGTAATCTTTCTCACGAACACGATATGGCATGTCTGAGGCTGTTCCGTAGCTGTTAGCAGAGTCTATATGCCCTAGGATGTTGCCTCGTACTTACTTCCATGGTATTGAAGACTCTTCCATCAAACTCCTTCTTCCAGAGCTTTGCTCTCTCATTATCTCGGAACTTCAACAACGCCAAGTATCTATTCATCCTAGAGGTCATGACCAAGCGGCAGTGGCCGATATCAGCTTTCCACTTCTCGCCGATGAAGCCCAGGAAGTCGCTCGGCGACATGTATGCGGGAACAGCAGGTATACAGAGCGTCGTGCAGTCCTCGCCGCCCTGCTGCCCCGAACCGCCATCGCCCAGCGCATTCTCATCCTGAAGCAGGTCCAGAGAATGGGACTCCTCGCCCTCGCGATAGAAGTGCACCACGCCCCAGCCCAGCTCCGTGTTCTTCGTATTGAGCGGGAGGCATTCTGCTTTATTCGTCGTCCCGGCGCCCCTCAGAGTCGGACCAAGCGAGGGCGCAGCAGAGGGGCCGGCCCTGCTCGCCTCCCCGGACTCCATGCTCACCAGGTCGACCGTCTCGACGCTCACTCGTCCAAACCGCCAATCTCTAATCGCAGTCTGGGGTCCGAGTGCCGCTGCGGCAGAAGGTGGTGGTGGGGAGCTTGGGAGCCCTCCGGGCCACTGTCGCTCCGTGTATCGTTCGAATTTTCGCCCGTTTTCTTTGTCGGGCGCGCGCGGCGTGCCGCAGTCTATGACGCTGGGGTCCGGAGACGACCCTCCAGCGCTTCTCCCTGGTATCGACGTCTGTGCCTGTCCGTGCCAGCTGTTCAAGGGCGGAAGGATAAGTTGGGTCTTCTTCTTGGGTTCCACCGGCCGAGGATGCGACGGGAGATCCTGGAACAGGTCGGATTCTTCGGTCGGCAGCCAGATATTCCTCGTAGATCCGATCGCAAAGGGCTTCTCGATATTTGGCGTCGGCGTAGGGTACAATTCGAATGTCAGGTGGTAGAAGTAGGAAGGCATAGCCTGGATTTGAGCCTCCGAGGCTGTCGCATAAGTTAAAAATCGCTGGTGAAGGATAGAAAGGTGAAATCAGGTACGAGTAAATCAAGTCGGTATTGATACATCAGGGCTTCGAGACTGAACCTCCTGGACGTTCCAAAATACCATGGCGCAAACGACCTTAGGCTTTCCTCGAAATTTGCGGCGGGTCAAGATGCATATCACATGGAAGAGTTACTGATAATGGCGTATGACGCCGGAAGGCTACAACGGGCCCGCAGCGGGTCATCACCCCACCATAGGTACATTTACTCCCCAGATTCCATGCTAAAGTCCATGGAGGCATCGAGAAATGTTGACGCTGCTTACGAAGGCGAGTTTTCAGCATACATGATTACGAGTTCACAAAGATGGAAGGCAAGGTCTGAGAGACGCAAAATGGTCTTGTATTGATGGTTGCCCAAATCTGGGTACCAAATTGACTAAGCTGTGCCGCTCATATCATCATAATGAGTTTCGGCGAGAATGATATTCGTGATTAATTCCCAAACGCCCAACTACCGCTTTGATCCACGTTTCACCGTAAGCTAAGTCGACCCAACATTTACTGGCCGCCACGGAGACGGAGGACCAAGTGAAGGGTGGACTCCTTCTGAATGTTGTAGTCAGAAAGGGTACGGCCGTCTTCGAGCTGCTTTCCAGCGAAGATGAGACGCTGCTGGTCAGGAGGAATACCCTCCTTGTCCTGGATCTTCGACTTTACGTTGTCAATCGTGTCCGATGACTCGACTTCCAGTGTGATAGTCTTTCCGGTGAGGGTCTTGACGAAAATCTGCATACCACCACGCAGACGGAGCACCAAGTGGAGGGTGGACTCCTTCTGGATGTTGTAGTCGGACAGGGTGCGGCCATCCTCGAGCTGCTTGCCAGCAAAGATCAGGCGCTGTTGGTCGGGAGGAATACCCTCCTTGTCCTGAATCTTCGACTTAACGTTGTCGATGGTGTCAGAAGATTCGACCTCGAGGGTGATGGTCTTGCCGGTGAGGGTCTTGACGACTGGAGATGGATGGTTAGAGGTCTGGATGGCTGAACGTGGGCGAAGTAGTTTACTCACAGATTTGCATACCACCACGAAGGCGGAGGACCAGGTGGAGGGTGGACTCCTTCTGGATGTTGTAGTCGGAGAGGGTGCGGCCATCCTCAAGCTGCTTACCAGCGAAAATCAGGCGCTGTTGGTCAGGGGGAATTCCCTCCTTGTCCTGAATCTTCGACTTGACATTGTCGATGGTATCAGAAGACTCGACCTCGAGAGTGATGGTCTTGCCGGTGAGGGTCTTGACGAAAATCTGCATGGCGTCGGTTGCTTGTAGATTCACGGAAGGTAGATGGTGTGAGGATGTGGAAGTATGCGAGCACGACAACAAGTGCGAGAAGACTGGTTGTTATGGGAGTGAAGGTGTGAAGGAGAGAGATTGCGAGAGGGGATGCAGAGGGTGGGAGGGTTTAAGTATGTTCACAGGTTGGTTGGGGAGGAGGGGAGGCCAGCCAACACGGAAGGAGGGAGGCGCAGTGACTTGATTGCTCGCGCCTTCCGAACAGGCATGACCAGTCGAGACTCAGGTTAGCCAATCAAGCTGAACATGCCCGAATGATCCAGAAAGCGGAGGTGGGGCTCCAAGTAGGCGATACTTGCCACAATTAGCTGCGTGGCGGACGTGCAAAGTTGCGGGTACATTGTCTTATCTGTGTGTGGGTACTAGCCGCCTTGAGGTGGGCCTAGATTGATGTCAGATGCGAACGGATGACACTCTCCAAGCTTCAAAGCTCGCCATGCATCCTCCCATCAATGCCAGTTATCTAGTGAACTTCATGCGTAGCAAAACAGTGATTCTTTGAGTTGAGCACTTGGAGACGTAGGTACCCTCTACATGGGATCCAGAAGGCTGTGGCGGAAAGCGCGACAGCCACAAAGCTTACCAAGCGCCAGGTGTTGCTACACGCGGCAGCGGCCAACCGGCGGTGACTCAGCCCCTTGTACCTCCGCCGGCTGCACCCAGCCCATAGGCACCAAGAGGCCATTATTGAAACCCGAGCACAGCTTGACAGCATATTTCACAAACGGACAAAAGAAGATCCAAAACACCTGGGTGGCTGCCTACCTACCTATGGACGGCCCCTCCCGGTTCTCGTGCATTCTCGCGCCCAGCCGCTACCTGCCCAGGCACCTGTCTGGCTCAATCCCAAGCCAAGGACAGATTGCGGGGTGTCTAAAGCCGTCCGTGCCTTGGTCAAAGCCCACTCTGGGTGGTGGCGACGTCATAATGGCTGATTGTTGCTCATCCACGGCTTATCAAGCTTGTTTTCAGCATCGTTCCAGGAAATGCCATCCATGCGGACGGAAATCGCTAATTTCAGGTACAATCTGATAGACCTGTCAAAACTGCATGGGCAATGAATCCAGCATGTCTCATAGCCATGGGCTTCCCGTTCCCGTGGCGTTCGGACTTCGCATTTGCGGCTGAGCGCATTGTAAGGAATGTTCCTAGCTCCCTTCCTTTCTTTCGGTAGAGTGTAGCAACAACCACTACTTCTACTTCCTACCTGGGCGGGCTGTGTTTCCATTGTTTGCTACAGCATATTTAGATGACAAAGCTCAGATTGGTATATGACACAACACCTAATCTCCCATCGGCAGCTTAGCCCCAAGGATCACACTGATGAGAGGCAGAGCCTCACGCTGATCATCAACATTGATCGGCAGTGGAATTTCCTGCTTTCAACAAATCAACAGATGTTGAGGCACACATTGATTAATGGACTGATACGCACATAGCACTCTACGTCCGAGAGAAACTTCTTTCATACGGGGATTCTGCATGTTGTGAAGTTTTTCATGGCCGGAACGTCGGGCATCGTCGGACCACGTAAATGCACACGCAATGCACTACAACACACCATGAGCCCCGGAATCGCCCCATCAACGAATGAATCGGCCGCTTTGCCACCCTTCAGTACGCTACTGTTACCATCAATTTGGCACGGTCTAGTAATAGCAGTAGACACCCGGATGATGGGACTTATGAAACCGTACTAGGACGCAAGTGTGCGATGACTTGCTGGCAGTCTACACCGCTTCATGCTGATGACGAGAGGCGCTGGCTGTGGACTGACTCGCTGATTAGTCGGTCAGCCAAGGATCGGAAGATTCAGTCAGGAAAAGCGAGAGGAAGAAGCTGGTGGAAGCAATCTGGTTTCCCATCTCTTGGTTTATTGAGGGAGTGTAAATTTTAGAAGCGTAACTAAAGTCAAGCTACTCAATAGGCTATCTTGCGGCTATCGTCTCTCCATATCCCATCATCTTCATGTAAAGGCTCGGAACGCCAATCCTTGCTGGTCCATCTAAACCATCTGCTTGCAATGTCTGTCATTTTCGTAATGCCATATCGTAAATCATGTTCCCGTCAGAACGTGAAACAGTCTTCGCTCGTCCACTCCAAGATCTTCATAAACTCGGAACATTTTTGTTCGCAAAATAAAATAAAAAACAAGTCTCAAAAGTCCTCTGTAAGTCATACATCCATGAGAAGTCATAAAAAGTCATTGTTCCGTCTGCTCTTCCCTGCTCTTCGAAGGTCGGTGACCAGCCGCAATCGAAGAGGGAGGTTTATCCAGAAAGCAAGACAATCGCTAAGGTGTCGTGTGTATCAACGCCCGCGCTAGGGCGAATGGCAATGAATGAGAAAAAAGTAAAGAAAAAAAAACACAGAAAAATCGCTCCAAACAAAGGAAATATGTGGCTCTCGTAGCTCAAGAAAAGAGTGCCACTTTATATCAGTAATTAAGAGATATAATCAGAAGAAAGGTTTAGCTAGCCCGGATAACAAGCTTGGAAACGAATTTGTTTGAGAGTGAGTCAAAATCGTAACGATCAAACTTGGTCTCTTTTCGGGTTCGAAGGTAAGCCTCTGCATGAGTAGTTAGCAATCCATTCATACTTGGTTACGCCAGACAGTTCTACTTACCATGCTTCTTGACATGATCTCTCACTTCAGTCATAGCCTCACAAACAGATTTGTTGTTGTGAAGAATGTGTCCATGCTTCTGGGTATCCCATTCGGTGAAGATGGGCAACTTCACAGAAATGGCATGGAAAAGTCCCACAATCACGCCAACAGGTGTTGACTCCATATCGTGGCAAAACTTGTTGATCGCGGCGGGATCGGCGGTGCGGTAGTGGCAGTCAAACTGCATCTCTTCCCAGACAGCCAGCAAGATAGATGCCAGCATGAAGATGGTGGGCCAGTTCTTCATCTTGTCACCACTGTAGACACCAGAGTAGAGCGAGGACAGCTCCTCCAGGACGTCCTTCTGGAGCTCACGCCACATGTCAGCCAGAGCACACTTGATCTGGAAGTTGACCATGACGGGAGCAACGGTTCGGCCGTAATACTTGGAGTCCTCGTCATCGATCTGGCCATCCAGCTCAGCCTCGGCGCCTTGATTCTCAACCATGGTGAGATGCATGGTCAGGTTGTAGGCAAGGACAAGCTTGAGAGCCTTGCGAATGACTGGCATCTTCTCCTTGACGTAGAAGCGGTGAGCAGTCTTGAGAATCTCGGTAATGAATGGTGTGCCCTCAAAGTGGTCATCGATGAACTCCTCAAAGGGGCCATCAATGTGCTTGTCGAGGTACTCGGAGAGTGCGTTCAGGTTGATGCCTTCAAGTCCGACGTCAACCTTCTCGGTGCGGGTCTCAAAGTCGATGGGCTCCTGGTCACTCAAGTAAGACTCGACCCAGTCGACGTTGAAGCAGCTCTCGTCGACGACGTAGACCTGACGGACCATGACGGGAAGAGCATAGCCGTAACCGTGTGTGATCCACATGAGCGTTTCCTTCTGGGCGAAGCCCTTGACATTGCAGACAGAAACGCCTCGGCCCATGTGTCTCTCATAGTCGGCCTTCCAGTCCTTCATGAAGTAGCCGATATCCTTGATGTCGATACGAGTGCAAGGAACCTGCCACAGACGTGCGTGGGATGGCTGGCACCCAGCACAAGGCTCACCCTTGTCGCAGGTCTTCTTCAAAAATTTGCATCGCAGGCAAGCTCTCAGCTTTCTTATCTCACTGGCTTGCTTTCGCTGCTCTGGCAGAAGAGGACCCTTTCTCCTTCCAACCTTCTTCTCGACAGCACCATCCTTCTTGCCGTTGGAAGTACGACGAACGACAGACTTGGTCGTAGACTTGCTGATGGGGCTCTTACGGGGACCCGAGTTTCTGCGAGGACCGGTGGTGGATGGTGGCGACGATGAGCCGGCACCACTTCCTGGGGCGTGACGGGTCGAGGCCGGCTCGGTCTTGATAACCACAGAGGGGGCAGGGTTTGCCGGAGGGCTCACCGACTCGTGTGTGTGGTGGTGATGGCCATCGGCCGAATAGCAGTTGCGGTGGCTATGGCTATCAGTGCCATCAGAGTCGTTGGAGAATGGAGAATATGGAAATGGTGGGATTTCCTCAAAGCTGCCGAATTCCATCGAGTTGGCGCCGTCCGACGAGTCCGAGTTGGTTCTCAAGTGCAAGGTCTGCGATGGGTTGAAGATGGCAGCATTTTGAGTGTGCGTAGGATACTGCTCGAGGCCGTGATGAGTCCAATCCACCATTGTCCAGCCATCGCCAGAAGACGAAGGCAGCGAAAGGACTTCGAGGTAGGTGCCCGTAGGCGAGTGGCTACCAACGCTGTCCAAACGAGGCAATCCGTCCACTTGCAGAGTGTTCTGGAAATCGTTCCAGTTATCCATACCCGGGTTCGCCCATTGCAGAGCCTGGGCCTCCTCCAAAGAAGGAATGGCAGCAAACGGCGACTCAAGCAGGTTTGCCTGGAGGGCGGCCTGGGTGGTTGGGGGGATGTACTCGAGAGGGTTTGTCGAGAAGTTGGGGAATGCATTGAAGCCCATCAATGTTGGATCCTGGATGAACTGGGACAGGTCAGCGGCAGGCAAATGCTGCTGTCGTTGATGGGCGGACATTGCTGCGGCGGCCGCTTGCTGTTGCTGCTGCTGCTGGAGAGCCCAATCTGTCAACGGATTCGCTGCTGCCTGGAATGGCGAGTGCTGAAGCGACGAGTGCTGGCTGTGAGGACTCGAACTTGACGATAGCGGCGAGTTTGCTTGGTGGTCCTCTGGCGAACTCGGGGCTGCAATAGCCTGTGGGTTGTTCATGTCGAGGGCCATGGGCCAGTTTCGATTGGCAGCCATTGCTGTTGAAACGATTGGAATGATGTGCGAGTTGGGGGCTGCAGAGTAAGGAAATGGCGGAGTCAGTCGATTTGCCTGGCGAGCTCTCTGGACCCTATTCTGATCGTGGCTCTGGGGATCTTGGGTCTGGTCGTAGGTGAAGTCAATGTAAGATCCTCCCCCCACGGTGTTTAGGTTGAATTCGAGGGTCATGCTGGGCAGGAAAAGGAGAACCGCCCAGAGCTAGATGTGAAGTAGTCGAGTATTGTATGAGGCAAATGGAAGACACCGCCTTTTCCGTGAGCTCCCTATGTGGCCAAGTGTAGGGAGCAGGAGGAGGAAGTCAGGGTTATTGGAGGCAGAGGAGATGTCAACGGGGGAAGGCCTTGGGGAGTAGGAGAGGGGGCCGGGACGCGAGCAACAAGCGGTGAAGGCAGGTTGGGTCCAGCCCCAGCCGGGAGCTGCAGCCAATGGTGGCCGCCAAGCATGCACGGTGGTGGGCTCGTCCTGAAGAGAGCTCACTGGGCGCTATGCGACAGTGCGAACACGGCGTCTTGCTAACGGTAGCCCGATGGAGGAAATACCCGCCACTAACCCTCCCGGGCTGTTTGCCTCTCCCCACCACCAATGCCACTGCGCAGTGTTGGAGCGAGTTGAATCTCCGTTCAAGTGCAGCTACGAGTCCCAACGCAGATCTATGGCGCCTCGATGCCGAGCTGGAGCGAAGTCAGGCAATCAGGGTCGCTCCGATCAGCAGAGGTAGAGGCGCGCCGTCGTCCTGCTCGCAGGGTGCTTCCTGAAAGTGCCGAGTCCTTAGACAAATACAGGGCGGGACGAGCCCACCTCAGCCAATCACGGCCCTCCAAAATGCTCGCCAGCAGTACAACCGAAGGGACTAACCTACCTGCATCGCTAGCCTGATCATCGCGAGATGGACTGGTTATTTCGAGTGCTTAGGCTCGATCCAGGGCTTCCAGTTCCAAGTACCTCGATACCTCATGCCAGTAGCCTACGGGGCCAACTGAACCTGAGCCTGGCCGGTTCGCCGTAGCACCGGTCTCTCAACAAATAGCGTCTCCTGCTCCGAACCGCCCACCGGCCGGGCTCCAACCTCCATGTCATGGCCACGTCCAGAGTACGAACTCAGGAGACACAACAGGAGATAGAGGCGTAGAAGGCAAACTGCATGTTACCGCGCTCCAGTACTGTGCTGTTAGTGTTCAGCGGTAATGCAGCGGGTATGGCAGAAGATGGGGCCGCCTGCATCCTCAGTGGCAGGAAGCGCTTCAGGTTGCTGCAGGACAGGCCCATCGTGGATCATAGGGTACTAAGCTACGAGGGGTCAAGTTTCAACAAAAAAACCACCGGCCCATCTTACGTTCGACCCTGGTTGAGAAGATCTTAGTCCGAGTGTCCCCCATGGATGATATGTTTATCATTATCTACATGCAGCATGTCGGAGGGACCGTGTGTCGAGTGTGAGTGAGTGCATCTGGGTGTGTGTGTGAATGTATAGACAAGCAAGCAAATGATGTCAAGGCGAGGGTCAGCAGAATGCAACCCCAACTCGGAAACTGAGCTCGGCTGATCTGGCCGCGCCCGTTCACCCAGTTCTCGCTGGTCAGAAAAAGCCCCATTCCAACCACCTCCGCAGGACGCACGAACCTACAGCTCCACACAGGTTGGAGAGCTCAATCAATGCTCAGTGTCTCGACAGGGAACCACTGTTGAGCTCGTCGTATGAACGCTCTGTCCTCACTGTTGCGTCTGATTTCTCGCATATCCTTCACAGCATGCGTAGGCTCAGCGTGCGTGTGTCAGTGAGCTATCATTAACGCATTGGGAACCACCGCTGTGCCCAATCATGAGATGCTTCCCCCCGATATGGTGCCACCATCTGTCGTCCCAATGGCGAATGTCCCGCAAAAAGAGATGAGCAAACTTCCCCTCTTTCCTCACTCGCGGCCAAGAATCCTCTCGAGCGTACAACATTCAGGTAGAATGGCCCATGCGCATGGCTACATATCAGGTCTCGGTTTGAGGATTCACGTCGATGGTCACGAATACACCCACGGCCACTCATCTTGCGTGCCATCCGGCAATGGGTGCTTAGCTGACATGGGCATGCTTTCCTGGCACACACACACTACGACCCCCCGTCCAACCACCTTTCAAGAAAATCCCATGTCACCTACAACATAGGTTGGCCCATTCTCACGACCTCCACATGATCCCGAGCGGCGCACCCGTGATTGGCCCTCCGCTGCGAGCTACCTACCTCTCTAGCCAGCGCATACTTGCTCCAAATGTTACGCTGCTGCTCTGTCTGAGGTGTTTTTGTCTCCACGGTTGCATTCTGCCACTGATCATTGTCCGAATCTGATCGTGCTCTGCTGTATGTCATGTATCTGCCTGCTTTCGTACAAGAACGACCCGGGGCCGACGGGCTGCAAGAAGGGACGTGGCATGGATGGTGCCAGGCCGGTCCGGTCAGTCCCTCCCATTCCCGCCCGTTGTGATAAGCTCAGTCCAGCCACCATGTCCGCCTACAGTACAGAGGACTTTGGCGGGAGTGCACTGTGCTTAGGGGACGTTGTGCGCTGGTACAAGGGACCTAGGTAAGGCGGGTGGCTTGCTGCGCCCTGTGGCCCCACCCACCTCAGCACAGTGCACATAGTGTCCCCGCAGTTCTACGGCCCCCATGGGTTGGAGCTTAGTGCCAATCACCCCTTTGCAGCGGCGGCCAATCTGAGACAGGCATATGCGTGTGCAGTGGCTCGTACACGTCAAACACCATCCATCCTGCATCTGTATCAGCAGTAATGCCCAAAGAGATGCGCGTCAGTCCATGGCGGAGCGTCGGGCGCTCAACATTGGACCGCGATGCGCTCTTTCAGATGCACAAGACTGGTGACGAGCCTGGCCACGTTTTGCTCCGTCCGCACCAGGAACCGGTTTGGGCCTCTGATGGGTAACGATGGCCTCGTTTCGTGCCATTTCCCCTCTTTCTCAAGCTGCACGCCACGTCCTCGCAGATGGGCAGGTTGAGCTGAGGCAACGTCTTGTTCCGAGTCTGGTCACTCACCCTCTGTCGTTGCAAGGATGCACCCGACACAGCATGTGATAAGATTCAACGGCAAACGGCATTAGTCAACTCCGTGTCTCTCTCTGCGGCCAACGAGAACCTCTCGATAGCCATGGTGTCGGCCAGTCACCTTGTTGTTCAACCAGCCTCAAACTGCTGTGCTTTCTCCTCTCGAACAAGAGGGGGGTCATGCCCCGAGCGGCCATCGGCAATATATGTCAAGTCCGGCTTACTATTACGTGCATCAAATGCAGTGCACAACCTGGCCAGGTTGATGCAGTCATTATCACTTGTGTATTCGTAGGTCCCTCAATTGATACTCTACTACCGCATCGCGACGGACTATTGAATCCATTTGAATCTCTAAATTGGATCCTTCTTCCGCGCGATACCACTTAAGGCCAGATTCGGGACACATTTTTGGCTTCCTTACCACACCTGTATGTGATCGTCTGTGTCCAGGAGCAGTTGCAACCCCTTACCGAACAGATATTGCTTACCATCCCACCCACTGTGACAACAACGACTACGTCAATGCATATGTCGACCGTTTGACAACATGGTAGTGTCCAGCGAGTACCACCCTGTGTGGCTCCAGGCTCGTCCAAGAGTCCCCTCCAACGCATTACAAACACACATGTCTAGACGATTCGTTCGGCCGCAATCCCCATCTAATAAGGCCGCAGGGCGTAAACTCCGTCTCCCGAATATCATTTGTGCAAATGGGAGAGCTCGAGCGGCTGGACCGTTCGCCAGCTCGCCCCAGCACCACGGTCCTGACACCATCAGCAATGATTTCAAATTGCTTATTGGCAACGGATAACGGTAGGGTATCCACGAGCGGCATGGTAATCCAGCGCCGGAACCGAGCACACCCACGGTATTCATTCCCCTTGCAAGATCACCGCTGCAACCCTCCGCCCGCAGATATCGCAGGCGCAGCCAGAAGTAGACCTTGCCCCGTGATTCGAGATGCCCTCCAAGCGCCTGTGTGACCTAGACTTCATTTCAAGATAACGGTGCAAACTCCATTTCGGGCTGCCGGCCCTCTACCAATAGATGTTGATACCAATTGCTGTAGGCTCGGTTTCTCTAACATGTGTGCCATCACAAGGCGACGGCATAAGAGGGGACGTAGATACCGTAGCAATTAGGCAACCACGAGCTGTACCACCAAGTTACGTACTATGGATATGTTAGACCCGAGACCTGGCATAACATGGCCGTCGCCCGAAGAATGAGGCCCCGGGTTCTCTCAAAGGCTGAGGCGCAAGAAACGATTCACCTTGCCCCGGAAGTTGGAGGGTGCATGGAAGGGCACACGCTCGATCACCTTGCAGCACATGTCTCACTTCATTGTCAACGTAGCGGCCGCCTTGGCGTGTGAGTTAAAGTAGCCCCGTAGAGTTGCGTCCAGCGTGCTCCCTGCAGCATATTTTGAATGTGATCAAAATACTGTTACGCTGCCATTCCGTCCTTGTGACGAATGACGACTGAAGTATCTCCGATGAAAGAGCGATATGTTTTCACCTCAACGAACATGTTAGTAAACTCAACGAAACTATATATACTTTCAATCTAGGCCAAATTTAGAAAATAGTTGGAAGCAGGTCTCGCAATTTTTCCCTTGGCTGAGACCTGGTCGCATCAAGGGCGCAGATGTGTCAAATGTGAACGTTCAGGAAAGGTCATATGATCATGGTCCTCATTTCAAGCAGGTCTCACTATACTCTCGTATATGCCGTTGTAATTGGAAGCTCGAAAGAGGTACATCACATTTGAAATAGAGGCATTCCAGGACTTCATGAGGGATCATACTCGGCCCAACATTCCACCCACATGCCATCGAAGAACTTGTGCCATTGATTTCAAAGTCCCCAGTCACTTGCCATCTCTATAGCAAGTTTTTATAAGCTCCGTGTACCATGTTCCACGCTGCAATATACCTACTTAACGGAAGCTCAATGTGGTTCAGACGTCAGGCGGCTTGGCCCCGAATGCATGAACTATAGCCACGAAGGATATAGCAAACAAGTAAAAGCCAGATATTGCTCTAAACTATGGTTTTCTTAATACCTTATGCGTATATAAGCAAGACATTTATTCAACTCGGATTATTGAGAGTCGGTACGTCCTATGTTGTCTAATTTCTATGCTAGATATATTACCACCTAAACCCTAACGAAGGATAGGATGGTATTATGAATAAAGGCCTCTGTCAGGCTGTATAAAGTTATATATAGTATAGAGCCTTATAGAGGCTATAACTAATAAACTGTAACTTATTACTTAGACAGAGTAATAGATAAGTAATAAGTAAGTAATAACTTTAGTATATATATAAATTCCTTTTATTAGCTAGAATACTCTTTTAAATAGTTATTAATAAGATTATAATCTTCCTATAATATTATCTATATATCTATTATTACTAGTTCTATAATACTTATATATTAATAGTAACTTATATTATATAGCCTATAATAACCTAATTATACTATTTAGAATAATATTCTAATTAGTTTAATCCTAACTTACTCTAGACTAGGTCTAGTATAAGTTACCTAACTATTATATATTAATAACTCTTATTTAGCTAATTACTTTATCTTAATTACTATATAATAATAAAGAAGATAAAAATAGCTCCTACTGAACCTAATAATACCCTAAAGAAAGAAGGGCTAACTGCTAAATAGATTATTATATAACTTATAATATAAGTTAGGTAGCTTAAGAAGAAGAATATTAAGAACCAGGAAGAGATATTCTAACTAACTCCCCTAGACCCCTTCTTAGAAGATACTAATAAACTTAATAGATTTAAAACTAAGCTTTAAATATATTTTAAATTTTTCCTAATAAAGCTTAAAGATAAAGAAAATAAAATTAAGTTTATAGGAATATATCTTAATAGTACTATAGGATAATAGTTTAAAACTTATCTTAAGAATTAGTATAACTATAAAAAAAAGCTAAGTAAGTAAAACTAAGAAACTATTAATATTCTTACTAGTTATAATAACTTCTTAATTATCCTTATCTCTATATTTAGTATAGTAGATAAGGAGTAATAAGCTATTAAGAAACTTAAAGATCTATATTAGATAGAACCAGCCTCTAGCTATATAGTTAGATTCAGGGAAATTACTATATAGTTAAACTAGGATAATAGCTCTCTTAAAGCTATATTCTATAATAAACTTAAGAATAAAGTTAAGAATTAACTATTTAAAATAGATAAATCTGAAGATTTATTTAACTATATAATAACTATAATATATATTAATAACTGCCTGTATAAAAGATACTAGTAAAAGAGAAATAAATAAACTAGTTAGAATTATATTAAAACTAATAGATTTAACCAGGGAATATAATAAATACTAATTCTATTTATAGAATCTGGGATATATATAGGTCCTATAGAACTAGGATTTATAGAAAAATATAAATACTATAATTATAATAAGATTAAGTATATTTTACTATAATACCTATAGCCTAAGAAATAGAAGAACTAAAAGAACTAGAAATCTACTAAGGAGGATAAGAAATAACTTAGTATAATAGAAAAAACTAAAACTAAGACTTTTAAAATAATTAGAAAGACCTCTTAGGAAGGAACTAAGAATAATATTAAGACTTCTGAATTTTCTATAATATATATACTATACTTTATAAAAATACTAAAGAACCTAGTAGATTAGGGATATAGTATAGTTTAAGAAAATCAGTAATAAATTATAAAAATATTTAGAACCCTTAAAATAAGATATAAAGAAGGAGGAACTAATCCAGAATATAGCCCCTTAATAATATATAAATTAGTATTCTAATATAATAATAGGTTTATTAAATATATACTAGAAGAAAGGAAATAATATATATAGATAAAAAATATAATATAAGCAGAATATAAAGAAGTCTATATATACTACTAGTAAAAAATTAAAAAGTAAGATCTAGTTATATTAGAAGTACTAATAGTCTATATTAGGAGGACTATAAATACTATCTAATATATAAGTAGCCTTTATAAGTTACTAGGATATTAGAAGAGTACTCTAAGAACCTAATATTATAAAGAATTATAGATAATATACTATAATATCTTTTATACTATTTATTAGTAAATAAAAGTAAAATATAATACTTTCCCTTAGCTAAATAAGAATATACCCCCTAGATATACTAATAAGGAAATACTTTAATTTATAAATAAACTACTTAATATTAACTAGTACTCTATCTTTAAGGAAGATCTAAAAAAATATCTAAAGGAATATAAATTTAGAGAATTACTAACTGAGCTATACTAAGACTAGTAATATAAGATCTATAAGTATAGAAAACTTAATCTATAGTATAAATAAAAAGTTTAAGAAAACTAAGCTACTTATAACTATTAAGAATATATTAAATAATATTATAATTAGGAATATCTAAATTATCTATATATAAAATAAATAGTATTTAACTTAATAAGAAGTAGAAATAATAATAAAAACTAACTATAATAAACTCTTAAATAATACTAAGCTTAGGAAGAGACTAAATAATAATACTAGGAGTAAGCTACTATAGTATTATTAACTAAAGATAAAGAAATAGATAAGGAACTAGGAATAACCTCTACTAATAAAAAGGAATAGGATAATATTTATACCCCTAAGAAACTCTAAAAAGAAAATAAATTTAATAAGTAGAAAAAACAGTTTAAATATTATATTCTAGGGTATAAAATACTTAGAATACTTAAGGATATTCTATACTGAGTATCTAAGTATAATAATAAGTATAGTAAACTTAAATAATAAGTTAATTAGGTAAAAAATAATCTAAACTATCTATAATAGGGCTATAGTATAGAATAATATTAATAATAGA